CCCCAAAACCCCAAAACCCCAAAACCCCAAAACCCCAAAACCCCGAGTCACTAAATCAATAAATTATAACAAATATGAATAGAGAGACTTGGACCTTTGTCCCAGAGAAGAAGGAGATTTATCTACATGAGACTGACAATGAGCCTAACCCAAAGACTAAGGGCTATACTGGTGCCAAAGCCGGCACTAAGACTAAACTCAAGAATTACTTGAACAAACAGAGTAAAATCAGTAAGTTCGAACAACCATGCAGAATATATGCCTCTGCCCTTGTGGTTGATATAAATCTTAAGCACCTACTTCCTAGCTGCTCTTTTGTATCTGCATGCCAACCTAAAATCAGCTCCTAAAGAATTTTGCTGACAACAACTAGATATATTCAAACTAACAAATCGCAATAAATTTTAAGGTTAAGATTTCGCTTAAAATCGAAATTCGGAAACTTCAGATTCCTAATCTCTCTATAGACCCCACGGAGAAGTATAATCCTTCTAAAACAACCGGCAATACTTCTAAATACTTTACAAAATATTCTGGAAGGACTATTAACAACAGGTATCTTATTTCCTTTAGGTTTTGCTGACTATTTTCACTAGAATGAAGCCATCACCGAAGAAGAATAAAACCATTGATCCTCAGGTAAGACTCCTTACATGAATAGTTTGAAATATTTCGTGGAAAGTTCCCAGAATGTAGCTTGGACCTGAGGCTGACTTTGGATATAGAACAACTGCAGGGAGAGATCTGGAGAAAACAGACAAAAATATTCATGCAACAAGCCTTCCTTCTCTTCTTCAACAAGTATGGGATAAGTAATAATGCTATAGAGAATAAATCCGACTTCAAGTCAATGCTTAAGAATAGAGCTAGTTTTGGCTCAAGAGGTAAGACTGGGTTGGAAATTATGCTTTAGGCTCTTATCCAAAGTTGACAAAATCTGTATCTAAAAATAAAGGCTATAAGAGTCGTTTACCTAAACAGATTTGAACTGAAACGAGGTAAGATATTATAGAAAGTCAGCCAATATTCTAAAATAAGAGTTAAAATATATTTGTACTAGATACTCCTGATGTCTTGAAATGAAAATCATTATTGTATATCTCTTTTGTTAAGGGTTAATGACTCGGCCAAATTATAATCAGTATCATTGAGACCAAGCTAGCCTATTAAATGCTAAAATTTTGAGAATTCTGCAAAAACTCGTATCTCTATAGCTCCAATAATCTTTTATGATTCACCAACTTAATCCACAATTTTTCTTAACTCCTCATATCCTTCTCTTCCTTAAGCTTTCTTTTAGGGCCACCTATCCACAAAAACTCCAGGAGGGGATTCCAGCCTCACCTATTCATGATGGCAAGAACCCATTCAAAGCCAAGAAGAGTTCATTCAGATGCATAAGGAGAGGATCTGATGAAATCAGAAGTGGCCAAGAAGATGTGCATATAGATACAACTGTTAGGAAAAATAAATTAAATAAGCAGAAAACCAATGAAGATGAGAAACACAAGAATGTGTGCGAGTAAGTAGGACTGTTAAGAAATTGGAAAAGTTGGGAGGGAAAAGCTGAGATTTGAGTGCGGCTGGATGATTGTGCTTTAGGGATCTTCAGAGTAGTGTAAAGAGGTTGAAGAGGAATAGGACTTTGCTTATTAAGAATAGTAAGGGATCTAGTATGAGTAAAGAAGTCACGCCTAAGATTAAGGATACTGATTCTTTTAATGATGCTGTTAAGAATGGGTATTCTCAGTATGCAAAAGGAGATAGCATGGTTTCTAATAGGAGTGTGAAACGTAGGAAGAGCAATCATCGAAATCTGTTGAAGGATCCAAAGTTTCAGCAAAATGTATACTTGGATAAGGCTTTCAGACCTCCTAAAATGGGAACGGAGGAGAGCAGGCATATTTCTGCAGAGTCCAAGGAAGTTAACAGGATTTTTAATGTCCTTCAGAATAACCTTATCTCCCCTCAAGGAGGGAAAATTGGGATGAAAAATTCTGCTGCTCAGGACCCTAAGAGAAGCCAAGTAAGGCAACTTCTACAGAAGCACTTCCACATGAAGGAACAAGAGATGCAACAAAGTAAAACATAGTCATAATCTTATAGGTGATGATACACTTCTGCTTAAGATGAGTGATTTCGAGCCAAGTGTTCTAAAAGGATTGTCAGCTTTAATGCAGAACTTAGAAGAAGAGAGCAAGTTTAGTCAGTGCAACGAGGGGTCTGAGAACGACAACAACTTCGAGCCCTGTAAACAAGAGAGTTTTGAGGCCTCTCCAGAAGACTCCTTCATCACCGCATCTATGAGGAACACTAAAGCTGATATCTCAGTCCAATTCGAAGATATTAGTAGGATCAGTAGCTCTTCTGGCTCTGAAAAGATGAAGGAGGAGGCTAAACCTAATGCTCCTACTCCTACCTCTGAAAGAAAATACATCAAGGGACATTCTGAGTTGGACATCAAGAGGATGAAAATAATGCTGGCGATGGTCCAGATCTACAGAATGGTGAAATCTGATAACCCTTTTGACTTTAGTCAGATGCTGAAAGTCTGGAGTCTACTGAAGAGAAGTTAATCTTGAGTTATTTATTAAATGAGTTGGGGTTTTGGGGTTTTGGGGTTTTGGGGTTTTGGGG